CCCCTCCGCCCCCTCACCCCCTCCCTTCTAAGAGATGTTTGGAGAGTGCAAAAGCAACCCTTTTGTGGTGTGAAGCTAGGTCAGGACGTGGCCTAGTAAAGCTGTAAAACAAAGCAAGTCATGTCTGAGCCATGAGAAATACTAGGTATGGGGCAATCGGTAAAAAAAAAAAAAAATGTCTCTCTTAGGTACCCGTTACTATCTGTGTCCTCAAGACTCTTTTGAGAACATGATGTCAGGTGATAGTAGTAATACGAATAGATAATTTTGCCCATCTTTTCTAGGAGTTGAGAGACGTAACTCATCCTAGAAAAGACAGGCAAAATGATCTATTCAGGCAGTCAGTAAAAAAAAAAAAAAAAAATTCTCATTGGGTCACTTGAGCTTGGTAAAGTCACTTTGCTTGACTCTTGATAGATTTGAAGGTTTTTAATTGTTTTTTCCCCACCTACGGAACAGCTGCACTGTTTTCCTAAGTAATCCTTTTGTAAGTAACTTGCTTATTAACGTCTTGGTTACTTCCAGGATTGTGAAAAGATATGTGGATGTGTTTGGTTTTGAGTGCAATCCTTTACTGTTATTTTAACAAACCTGGGTTAACCAAAACGCAAATCGGAGGACTTGTCCAGTGTTGGAGGAGGTGATTTTAATAGTAATCACATTTAAAAGCATGAGATTTAAAAATTAAGTATTTAAACAATGTTTTCTGCAGAACATCAGTACTGGAATGGCCGTAGCTGGAATCATTTTATTTGCAAGGAGTATTAAATTGGTGAGTCAATATTTTGATATCCATTCATCATTTTTTAGTTTGACATATTGGGCTGGATTGTCTTTCCTGCTGTATCTTCTTTGTGCCTCTTGTGGTGGCACAAAGGAGGCTGACAAGGCTCAGACCCGGGGGGTGGGGGAGTCCACTGGTGCACTCGCACCTCTCTTTGATTCCTGGCCCACCCAAAATTTAAAACCAACTGCCTGGCAGTGGCAGCAGCATTATTAGTTAGGCAGTGCCGAGGGAGTCAGTTGACCTCATGGCTCATTATAGTCTGCTTGATCCCTTTTAAACACTTCATTCCACAGGGGTTAACCGTGCTCTCTTCTTTTTAATGGTCTTGATGTTCCACCAGGCAAGTTAACATTTGTTCTGCAATTCTACTGTTTGTTAGCTGCTCCTGAAAATGAAGCTCTTATTTCACAGCCCTGCAGACTTTTTTTAACTCATTCCAATGAAGTTATATTTGCTTTTGCTTCCATCTTAAACTGAATAATACAGTTCTAGGCCCTTGCATTATACTAAAGTTTCTGGTTTATTTTTAAGTGGAGAAAAATGTGTTGTATGTATAATGTATATATGATGATGCACCTCACCATGTGAACCCCCCTTTTCAAAATTCTAGATTTGCCCATGAGGCTGCCAGTTGGGTTAGTTGGTCATGTGGCGTTTTGGTATGTGATAATTCAGGTGACCATAGGTGACTTGTCCAGAACACTGATTTGTTCTTTTGGTTTTCCCCAAAGCAGTTCCTTTAGAGCTGGGATTCGAACTGCAGGGCTCCTCATGGGCCAGATCTGAACCCACCTCAGACAGCAGGGCAAGTGATGATGGGGAACCACAGAAAGAGCTGTTATTCACCCCCTGCCATGAAATGTGTCCCCAGTGGGGCCCAATGCCTTGGATTTTCACAGTGATGCCTCCCCCACTCCCTTGCCTCACCCTTGAATTTCCAGCTTCTCCAGGAGCTTAGCAGTCCAGGTGATGTGGATCAGCAGGCCAGATGGGCTGGATGTTTGACTCTCCCCACATAAACTTTAGGGTCATTGCAGTTAGCACAATTGAGATAAGATACCTATCTGAATTGCTCCTTTAAACTAGACCAGTGATTTGGGAATTTGTAAGCTACAGTTGTTACCTACAGCTGTCTTTTTTTACCTCAAAAGAAAGCTGTACTGGTCAAAGAAGGGTTTCATAGATTCATAGATGTTAGGGTCGGAAGGGACCTCAATAGATCATCGAGTCCGACCCCCTGCATAAGCAGGAAAGAGT